CAACATTCCTTTTTTCAGTTTTGCGATTGTCTTCTTCTATTCTCTATCGGACAATGATATCTTCAAGTTTCATTTCCTTCCGCTTGTGCTTTAGGTAATTCTTGAAATCCTTCCATAAAGGTGGTAATTTCTCAATCAGTGCAGCGACTTGAAATGATTCACTTAATTTCATTCCTTCGGCATGGATGTCGCTAAGTATGATTTGTAATTCTTGAACTTGGGATATGACAGTCTTGCTGTCAACCATTTTATAGTCCAAAAAATGACCGACAATGAATTTCTTCGTGCTGGCATCTTCGATTTTGTACTTTGTGTCCAAAGATTACCACAGTTCTTTTGCAGACTTAGCATTGCAGTACACATTATATAATGTGTTATTCAGTCCATTAAGTACATAATTTCTGCACAAGAAATCAGAATGCTTCCATGCATCAACCGCGGCCAATTTTTCAGCATCACTGTCTTGCTCGGTATATGAAGGCGCGTCTTCTTTGAGAAATTTAGCTAGATTTAAAGTTGTTAGATAAAAAAAGCATTTTTTGTTGCCAACGCTTGAAATTTGACCCATGAAATTTTTCTGGTTTTTCCCCGGTCGTATTCGGGAGTGTGGTACGAGAAGTTGCCATTTCTGAAACACAATCAGAAGATCAACGGTAAGAAGGAGTAGAAACAGAAACAAAATAATAATAGAAAATCCATTTTAAGATTGTTGTTTCTAGAGTTTGAAGTTACTCCTTCGAAAACAATTCGACAGAATCACCTGAATGTAAGAATTGATCAGCAGGATCTAAAATTGTAATTCGAGCCCACCGACTTCATGATATTTCTTTAAAACGAATTTGCTGCTTTCAATGGTGCTAAAGGTATCTAGTAATCGTTTTTCAGGATAGAACGAATTTTCGTCTCCTACGAAAGCAGCACTGCAATCTGCAGGAATTTCAACGAACTCAACGAAGTGTGTTTTACTTCGAGACAATATCAGAACGAGAGAGAAGGGAATGAGATTCAAAGTACAAAAAGTTCGCAATGAAAATGGTGTAAATTTTCTGGTAGAGAGGCTGGCTATTTACAGACTTGTTTGTGGCCATTCGAACAGTCATCACCTTTTAGACAAACCCCAAAAATTCGAACAAACATGCTGTTTTAAAAGTCGCGTCTGTTAAGTCGGGTAACAGTCGACTGTTTGGTCAGTAAACAGACGACTGTTAAAAGAAAATAAAACACCCGGAATAAACCAAAATTTAAATTTCATAATGTACCCAAGAATTTGATTATTTACAATTTGGTCCAAAAATTTAAATAAATTTCGTCCAAAAAGTTAATATAGTGCAAAGATCCACCCGCACCCGCACCGGACTTGAACACGTGCTCGTGCTGTGCCATGCCGAACCGGCCGGTCGGACGGACAGCGGCGCTCGCATGTGGATTTATGACCGAACTCAATAGAATATAGGTCTTCCCCCTTCTAAAAATTATTGGTACCCCTTGGGGCCCAAATCCAATTCCAAACTTCCACCTTATAAATCACACCAAAGTTTCCTTGCTTTCCTATGTGGGATAAGTGTTTGGAAAATCAAATTCTTCCATAATACTTAGTTTATGTGGGTTAACTTAACACTTAATATTTCATTCAATTTTAAATGATTTTCGATAAATAAATATATCATGTTAATCATCTCACGAAGTAGAACGTGAATATGCTAGGTCCCGTATTAATTAAAAGGTGGGTCCCACTGAAATTTGTACTCAAAGTTGACCCATTTCATAACAATTTTTTCCAACAGGCTCTACTGGTGTGATGTGTCCATGTGAACCAAAGGGCCAGGCCAAGTCAACCCTTATCTGTGAACACTAGCCAAGCTCAAATATTGAAAGGTCGAACAGACTGCAATTTTTGGGTGCAAAAATTCCTATAGGTTCAATTTCTTGAAAAATTGGCAGCAATTTAATGTCAAATAAAGATCACTGTATAAAATGTTGTTGATATAAAGCGAGATACCAATTTGATATGATACATATTTGTTGCGAAAAATGAGAGCAGGCAATATGAAAAATAATAACAAGAACACAAGATTTATGTGAAAATCCAACTAGAAAAAAACCACAAAAAAAGGAGAAGAATTCACTAATATGAAATATGTAAGAAGTATAAATTATGCTTTATGATAGATCATCTCTCAAGGGATATAATTACACCTATTTATGATATAAATAAGAACCTAAGATAAGGTGGAGCCAATCGCTCGAGCGACTGCCTAGTGGTGGCACCGTTGCTCGAGTGGTTGCCTAGCGCTTGAGTACCTCCACGTAGTTGGCGACCGGCTTCACACCATTCCTTCTTCGTATTCAACTTGGCCTCCTTCAAGATTTCTTCAAGTCATACTATCAACTTTTTGATAGACCTGCAATAGAATTCAGATCATTCAAACTTTAACAAATCTCTATCTTCACACGTAATACAATGCAAAGAACAAAACTTAAGTATTTAAAAAATATTCTTCAACAAAACTCTCCACCTCTTCCATAAAAGCCCCAAAGGATAAATTCAACGACAAATACCAAACAGGACAAAAACATACTATATAATAGATCTTTTTTTTTTTAAAATCAAGATTTCCCGAAAAATCAGAATTAACACAATTAACTACTTCTGTAGAAGGTTCTTCACTAAATTTAATACCTTCTACCACATAGAAACCATAAGGAATCAAATCAGTCTCACTGTACTTTTGTGGATGTTTAATATCTCTTCTAGGCCTATCTTTAGGAAGAGAATATTGTGGCACAACTCAGGGGCGGACCTTGAACTATAATTCAGTGGGGGCCAGACAGAAAATGGGCTAAAATAAATTGTGAAAGAAACCAAAAAATCTGAAAATTTAAATTTAAAAAGGTCCAATTAAAGGTTTTTGAAAATTCAGTGGAAATATTACTCTTTGTTAACAAGTACTAGTAAATTCATATTGGTAAATTAAATTTACATTAATTTGTTTATAACTTGTTTGAAATACTCGGTATAGGTTATTACATGTATCTTATGTACTATACACATTAAACTCTTGTGATTAGTTCTTGGCCGCATTTTTTAGATTTGTGATGCGGTCATCTGTGTGGTGAATTTACTTTGAATATGGAATGACCTTAAACTAGATTGACCTAAACTCTTGTATATTCTCTATAAAAGAAAAAGGAGTTAGTGATTCAAAATTTGAAATTAATAAAAAAAAGGTGAGATACATCTTATACTCTTCTTCGTAGCATATTTGACACGAGCAATTAAGTTTGAGAGGTTTCTCAAAACCTAAAACCTTATGGTCATCTGACTTGGAGTCAGGGCCCAAAACTCGTTATAGGGGTCTAGTAGCACTGGATTTGATTTCGTACTTTGAGAAAAATATTCATTTACCATAGATTTTTCGCATGTTCTTTCTCATTGATTTAACATTTTAAGACTTCCTTACAAGAGTTTAGAAGCACTTATCACACAAGTGCATATTTTTTTACTCATTCATCTTTGTATTTTACATGATTATTACTTGTCTTTTCTTTTCTTTATTATTCGTGATATAAAGGGGAGAGGTGTATTTATTTCAAAGAGTTGATTATATGAGTTAGGGAAAAATTTTAAAAATTTAAATTTTTTTATTGATAAATGAGTTAGGGGGAATCAGTTGATATATTTGCTGAAGATCAACTGTTAAACCTGCAAAAACCCTCATTTGATTCATAGATTCCTATTGAACTAGTTGGTTCACAGAATTTCTCGACGGTTTCTTTTCATTCGATTTTTACCCTATATAATAGGACTGGATTTCTATCCGGTTCCTATTTTTTCAATGGGTTCAACTTTTAAAACATTGTTTGGAAGGGTTTTTTTTTTTTTAATGAGGGCATTTTAGGGAATGCAGACATATCTATTTCAACCAAAAATTTTATGTCCAACGAGGTGAAATTGAAATTTCTGATATCACGCTTGATTGCTAACATTTCTTTGAAAGTGGAATGGTAATGCTTTTCTACTCATGAGAATGATTCACTTTTATATCCACAAATATTTCTTTTTCCATCTTTTTCCTCCAAGAGAACTATGGCCAGTATAGATCACTTGCATCAGTTTGCAAGATCAACTTTCTAGAAATGGGACCTACAAATACTTTCTACTTCCTTGGCACTCATTTCTATTATGCTTCGCAAAGACTAAACTAATAGGGATATCATGGCATTTGAAATGCATATTTTTTCCTCAAAGGTAATTTCAATTATAAACAAGCAATCTCACAATATCTATAAAAACCTAATTCCAACAAATAACATATCGGGAATTTAAGGGTAGTGCCCACAAGATAAGCAACACACCTTCCTTTAAGAGAAGATTATAGACTACATCTAGGCATCTCATTGTACATACATATAAGCTCCTCTCATTACCATGTATCTCCTAAAACATCGTATTTTATGGTTTGTAATTACATGATATGAAATCAACTATTGTGAGTTGATGTCAAGTTTAATGGGCTGATATTGGATTTGGAATGGACTCTGTTAAATTTTGGCTAAATGTGAGCTTTTCACTCCAAAAACTCACTTCACTCTAAAAACTCACTTTTATTTTAATTGTTTTAAATATATGACATATACAAATGATCATAGTAGTTGTCAAGGTTTAACGGATCAACATCAAGTCTAAAAGTGGATTTCGCTAATGTAGTGATCATGTAATATTATTTAATTTATGTAACATTATTTAATTTTAGTTATTAAATGGATCGCAAGACTAATTTTAAATCACATAAGTTTCAGCGACCATTTGCGAAAATATCTCGTTACAAATATTCAAAAAAGATTATGATCATTTAGTGCTATTTGTGTCAAATTCCCTATATACTAATTTGAGGTCCACTAGGACTAAAGTACTCCGCCCAGAAAAATCCTGGGGAAACATGAGCCCAATTCCCCCTCTACCCGCACTCCCAATTCCAACCCTGGCTGTATAAATAAAATTTCTCCCAATTCCTGAAGTTATACGCCATATCTATTTCAGGCTGCAGATCCGGGAACCGGAGAATTCGCCATTGGGAGAAGTAAGCTTTTTCTTCAACAGTTTTATTGTTTCCACGCTCATGACGGTGTTCTGCTTCAAATATCCAGATTTGATAGGTGTGTGTATTGTGGGGGGGGGGGGGGGGGGGTTTTTTTTTTTTTCCTTTGTATATGTATGATGTGGAGGTCAGTCGAAATTCTGGTGTTGATCATCCAATCAAAGATGTATGTTATTCATTTCGGTAGTCAAATTTTTTTTTTTTATACATATGTTCTTATATCTAGTTTTGACAGCTATATAATATATTGTAATTGTTTGTTCCTTTTTTAAGACATTTGAAAATAAGGGTTCGGAGGTTAGGTTTTTACGGAGTTTCTGGACCTCGACGTCTCTAAAATACTCTGATGGGAAGATTTAAGCCAGGCGGTCAGCGTTCATGTTTGGTTTCTCACAGCTTGTGGTGTGATTGTGGGGTTCCGAGGGGAAGAAGAGATCAGCCATGCCGTCCTCCTTGGCCGATCCTTGCGACTCAATACTACTTGAATGACAACTGGAGCCCAATTTTACCTGTAGAGTTCGTCAAAAAGGTTAGAGGGAGAAATTTGAGGAGACTAGAACCTAAGGAGGAGGATGATGGTGAGCTCACTGAGCTGGAGGACACAAAGGATGAAGAAGGCAATGACACTGAGGCTCCGTTTTCAGAATTTGCTGGTAAAAAGAAAAAAAAGGCTAAGAAAGATGGAAGCAATAATGCATTGAGTGCTTCAAGTTTTGGTTTACTTGGAGAAGGAGATGACGTCAAAAAGGTTAGAGAGAGAGATTTTAGGAGAATAGAACCTATGGAGGATGATGATGGTGTGCTCACTGAGCTGGAGGACACAAAGGATGAAGAAGGCAATGACACTGAGGCTCCGTTTTTAAAATTTGCTGGTAAAAAGAAAGGAAAGGCCAAGAAAGATGGAAGCAATAATGCATTTGGTCGTTAAATGTATTATTTTAACAACTGGTGTCATTGAATATTTTTTCCTATTTTAAACAAATATTTAATTTTAAAATATTTTTTCCAGACATCAATTTTTTTTTTCACCGATGTTAAATGTAATTTAATTTTCATAGCTGCTTTATTTGAGCATGGATATTCAATTGTCTTTGCACAGTTGAAGTTGCATATTAAGTTGAATAATGTTCTTATTTGACATGTAAAATTAATTAGCAATTTGTATTTTTAAATTGCTTAGTTGCCTCAAATGTTATCAGAACCTGCCTGAACCGGTCGATTCGACCAGTAAAATCTAGAATCGATAATGTAATCAGGTCGATTACATGTCAAAAACCGAAAATTTTAAAACCACATAAAAACTTTAAAACCGTCCGGTTTATTTAGAACCAGTAAACCGAACAAGTTTTAACAGTTATTCTAGTTCAACCATGGCATCTCGTTTGAATTTCAGTAGAAATCTCTAGTTCAAATCTTCAGTAATAATATCCAGTAAAAGTCTTTCACATCTGTTGCTTCTGGGATGTCTTTCTAAGGGTATCAGACACCGTATTAACTGAAACATCAATATGCATGCTCGTCAGCCTGTGTTTTTTCTAGCCGTAGGATAGCCTCTTGAATTCAAAAGCATTCTCAGTTAAAGTCTCCAGTTTAAGCTTATTTTTTTCTTCACTATGGCTTATTTGTTGGAATTAGGTTTTTATTGATATTGTGAGATTGCATTTGGTTGTTAAATGTATTATTTTAACAACTGGTGTCATTGAAATAAAATTAATCGATTTATAATATTAATTTTTAACGACTGTTTTTTTCATTGTTGAAATGAAAGGCAACTAAATTCTAGTTGTTTTCATCATTAGCGACAAAAATAGTTGTTACAACAATCAAACAAATGGTTGTTAATAAGATAATCGGTTGTCAACACAAATCTTTTACGACCAATTATTTAGTTGTTAAAATAATACATTTAACGACCAAATGTATATTTAGTTGTTAAATACATTTGTTTTCATTGGATTTCCTAAGATGAAAGAAATCAATGGGTAATTAGCAAAAAAATCCCCATCGTTTGTACTCATTGCGAAAATGGTCCCTATCGTTTTGAACCTGCTATTTACATTTTCATTTCAAACCTTTCTTGTAGAATTAGTCCTTTCTGTTATATTCTGTTAAATCCATACGTTAAATAAGTGTAATTTGATGTAAAAGGTCTCTATTGCTTGCTAGAATTACACAAATAGTCTCTATTATTTTAATTTTGATATTTGGATATTTAGATCGACATTTATTTGCTTAAACGGTCCTTGTATTCATTTTTTCTATTATAACATTATGAAATGACTAATTTATCATCATATTTAAATAACCAAATAGAAAATAGAAATAATATAAACAAATTGTATCTAAATTTTCTAATTTTTTTTAAATGTACAAACGAATCTCAGGAAAATAATTGAAACATTCTAATAAACAAAAACAAAAGTATTTCATCTTCCCAATTAACCCACATACCCTACGCCCCTCCCCTACACTCCACCACCACCACCACCATCACAAAATTAATTAAAGAAATAATTAACAATATAATAAAAGTAAGAATAGAAAAAAATTATAAAAACAAAACAATGTTTATTTCTCATCAATTTTTTTAATACTTTTAATTCTCTTTTTAATTATTTTGGTGGTGGAGGATAGGCATATGGGTAGGAGTAGGTGGGTTATTTGGGAATATAAAATATTTTTTTATTAGAATGTTTTAAATTTTTTTTATGTGAGATTTGTTTGTAATTTTTAAAAAATATTAGAAACTCTAGATACAATTTTTTTATATTATTTCTTTTTTCTATTTTTTTTTATTTAAGGATGAAGATAAATTAGTCATTTTATAATGTTATAATAGAAAAAATGGATGCAATGACTTTTTAAGCAAAGAAATGTCGATCTGAATATCAAAGTGTCAAAATTAAAACGATAGGAATATTTGCGCAATTACATCAAACAATAAGGACCTTTTACATCAAATTACACATATTTAACCGAATATGATGGAAAGGACCAATTCTGCAAGAAATGTTTGAAATGAGAGTGTAAATAGCTAGTTCAAAACGATAGGGACCATTTTCGCAATAAGTACAAATGATAGGGATGTTTTTTGCTAATTATCCGAAATCAATGTTTCAAATATTTTGATTCTTTGTTTAACATGAAATAATGATGAATGCTCATCTCGATGTTTTTCCTATGCTATGAAGAACTCCCGAAAGCTCGTTTATAGAATTAAGTGTTCACTTTATATTGGATACTTGGCTGAATTGTAATCGGGGCATCTATTATATACGATGGGTAATTGTGCTAATTTGGAACTTGACTCAAGGTCTTACTGATCGTTTGAACAGCGTGCTTGGCTCAGCTTTTAAGCTACTTTTTAGTCCCAAAGCACGTGGCAGATGTGTCTCGTGTATTTTGTTGGAGACTGGACTAGACTTTTTCTTATATATATACTCTTACACATATGCGTGCATATATAAACGTATTTCTAGATATAAAGATAAATATTGTTGAATTTATAGTTTGATTTTTGATAATATAATTCTCGGGCAATTATTTTCTCTGTTATTTGTTCGATGATATGAACGTGTAAACATATGGCTAGATATCTGCGTACTTGTTGAATTTCTATTTTGACTTGTGATGAAATGATGCTGTGGGAATTATTTTGTTCGTTATTTGTTTAATAGTTTTAATTGAAGTGATTTTGGTAAATATATGTGTATGTGTTGCTGACCTTTTTTTTATTGAGGCGGTCATGTTGGGTCTATGGTTTTATTAATATTCGATCGCAAGCATTTGTGTATATCTGATGTGGAGGTCAGTCGAAATTTGAACTGTGATCACTTATATTTCCATAAATCATATCTTAATCTGAGTCGAGATTCTGGTGTTGATCATCCAACCCAAGATGTATGCTATTCGTTTTGGTGGTCATTTTTCTATTTTTCAATTTTATACGTACGTTCTTATATCTAGTTTCGACAGCAATATAATATATTGTAATTGTTTGTTCCTTTATTAAGACATTTGAAAGTAAGGGTTTGGAGGTTAGGTTTTTACGGAGTTTCGGGACCACACCATCTCTAAAATACTCTGATGGAAGATTTGAGCCAGGCCGTAAATGTTGGGGTTTTAACAGCTTGTGCTGTTGTTGTGGGGTTGTGAGGAGAGGAACAGCTCGTTCATGTCGTCCCCCTAGGCCTACCTGTGTGAGTAATCACTGCCTTTATCACTGGAGGACGGTTTTACCGTCAAAGTTCTTCAAAAACATTAGTAGGAGAAATTTGAGGAGAATGATGATGGTGAGCTCGCTGAGCTGGAGGACACGAAGGATGAAGAAGGCGATGACACTAAGGCTCCGGTTTCAAAATTTGCTGGTAAAAAGAAAGGAAAGGCCAAGAAAGATGGAAGCAATAATGCATTGAGTGCTTCAAGTTTTGGTTTACTTGGAGAAGGAGATGACGAGGATAATGAAGATTCAGGAATAACAAAGAGAATATTGATTATGAAAAATCAGGATGCTGAAGTAGCAGGTTTTGCACCTTGTGAGAAGCAAATTACTGAGCTTCTTAAAGTTGGAAAGGATGAGAGAGCACCGAAAGCGGGGAAGAGGAAGTTGGGCACCCACAAGAGAGCAAAGAAGCGTGAAAAGATGGCATTTGTTCTCCGGAATATGAGGTGAATGACAGTAATATACAGCGTGTCTAAATTGTTAAGTACTAAAGTTTTTGCTCGCATTGTTTCAAAGGACTTGAGCCTAACTTCTGTTGCTTGGTGGATATTTATTTTTATAATTCTTGATCTCATTCATCTGTATTTTGGCAATAAATAGTTAAATTCATCCATTTCCTGTATAAGTGCTCACAGTTTGTTTTATGTTGAACAATATAGGGCTGCTGGAGGTGGAGAAAAGACGTAAACTGCTACACTTGGATTTCTTAGGAGAGTTTCGCCGTTTACGAAAATCGGAGAAAAGATTTGAGTTGTTTAGCCCCTTTATTTAGTTAAACTGGAGATTGTAGTTTTGATTTGACCGTTTGGAGAAGGTTGTTGATGAGACTAGTTTTTTGTTGAAGGTTTTGCCAACGGTATTTTTTTACTTGATATTCATTTGCGATTTGCATATGAACCTATCTTAATCGTATCATTGCTAGGACAAGTCTTAGGACAGATGTAGCATTCAGGTTTACTGTTGAATCTAATAACCATGGGCTTTTTTATACTTTTCAGACTTAATCCATTACACTGGAACTCCAGACTCTTGAAAAATGCTGCCCGATGCATTTTTCCTTCACCCCAGTGAACCCACTCCTATCTCCCCAGAAAACAACTGAACTTCACCCATTTTTTTATTTTTTATTTTATTTTATAAATTTTGTAAAGCTATGATATCTAAAAACCATGTAATACATTAGTTTAAAATCCATTCATTACCCAATCGCGGGAAAGAATAAAAGCATTTCCACATGCTTAATTGAAATTTCCCATCAAGGTAATAAAACCTTAAGCCATCGGTGTTCAACATATCCGAAGGTTGTTAATTCTTACGTCATTTGTCAATAATGTAATCACTTTCTGGGCGGTGAGCATATCAAGTTAATTGCTCACCTTTTAGAGTAATGCTATTTATCTAGATTGTAGGTGACACTAAAAGTTAGGTACACTTAAATAACTATATGTGAAGTTCATAACAATGGTTAATGAATATTGTTCAACCGAAGGTTTCAATAATTTGTATTGATCCTAACGGCGGAGAATATTAAAGGTTTTTTAAAGTAGAAATTTCAAACAAGAGACGGGTTCTCTTAATACGATTTTTGTAGCAACATCTCCAAAGTTGATGTAGATTGCTTATGAAATTTTGTGACTTGCGCAAAATTGAAAATGTCTAAAAGAATCTTTGACCAATGTTATTTGATCATAATGTGCCAATGAATAACCCATCCAGCACCACCCAGTTCAATCTCGCACCTGCGATGCCCGTGAAGTGGAAATCTCACCACGTACATAGTTTTTTTTTATTTAAATTAATATTTTACTATTAGACATTATTTATACTAAAAATACTACAATTTTTATAGTAAAAATGATAATTGAAAAAGTACCTCTCTCATCAATTAATATAATCATTGACCTCAATCATTCATCAAACACGCCCCCAAATCATCCACTTTAGTTGCCAAAAGAAAACCCCAATCATAGTCTTTTTATTTACCAAAAAAATATATAAATAAATAAATAAAATAATAATAATAATTCCTTTGGTGATGGCTAGCTTGGATGGTCGACCACAGGGGCTGATTTAGGTGGTGGCCAGCTGGGATGGTCGCCCTAGTTAGACTCGCCGAAGAGAATTTTTTTAGTTGACAATAGAGAGAATTTTTTTAGTTGAATTATATATTTGATAATTAATATTAACAACAAACGTATCCGGTAGCTCAGTTGGTTAGCACTTTCACTATCTTCAAGAGCAATATATCGTTATAATTTTTGTATTTCAACAATTTTTACTAAAACAAATCAAGGAAAAATTTTACTAAAACAAATGTGAGGAAAGTGATTCGAACCTACTACCCTTTATAAACATTTTGACCAATTTACCATCATAGCACTTATTGATTTTCAGCACATAATGTAACAAAATAATATATGTTCAATTTTACTGGTTTAATGCAAGTAGAAACATTTTAACCGATATTTAGTCCCTCTTCTTGATTTTCTTTTTCTTTTTTTTCCCCTCTAATCAATTGATTTGACAGTTTGATCAATTAATGGTGGATTAATTTGTAAGAAAATTGGTATTAGTGTCATAAGGAATCTTTAAACAAAACATATTTAATTAATAAAATGTTCCACCTTTTGTTCAAAAAAATCGATTTCGAAAAAGTGGAATTATTCAAGCACATAAAATTGATATAAGCATATAAATAATTTTAATTTTGTTAATATAACAATGCTTGTTTAATTAACTTTAATTGTAAATTGAAAATTGGCATTTTGTTAATATATATTGCCTATTTAATTGAAAAATAAATTAGGGCATTTTATAGATTATGGAACGTTTTTTTCATCTAAAATGAAAGTTTGTACCTAGTTCTAGTTCTAGTGGTGTATCTAGTTATTCTAGTTCTAATCCGTAGATTTTTTGAATATTATTTAATTAAATTTTAATAAACAACCCCGCTATTACGGACATTGACCGTTGATAGTAAGCTTTTAACACTCGTGGTCCGTACTGGCTAAACTCGACTCCTAGATTCACCTTTGGTCGACAGGGTCAAAAAATCAATTCCAGACCCTTGATTGGGTTGGGTAGAATAATTTGATAGAAATTCAAATGACTCGATCAAAAATCGAGTTTGATCGAGTTAACCAATTGCTTTTATATTAAATCGGTCTGGTTGACTAGTTTGATCAAATTTCAAAAGTTTTTCCTTAAATTTTTGGCATTTAAAAGACTTGAACCTTTGAAATATATAAATAATTAATGAAACATAATTTAAAAACTTTCATTTTTTTCTTAAAGAAAATTTTATATTTAAATAACATTTTAGAATTTTTAAGTATTGATCCATCAGTCCAACCACTAACTTGCCAGTTCAACCAGGTTGATGTCCGGCTCAAATCTAATAAATATGCTAAAAGCACTTCTACGTATTAGAAGTATTCTTATAAAATTAGTCAAACGGGTTTAAAAGCAAATTTTGTGTTTCGAAAGCTCTTTTTGAATTTTTAAAAAATCAAATCAAACAGGCCCTTAGTATATTGTATTCACTTGTAGAAATAATATAAAAGGTTATGGAATTTTCGATCTCATAATCTTCACAATAAATTTGTTATCATTTATTGTACATGAAATAATAGATTAAAAACATTAATTAAAGATGGAAAGAAAACATGTTATAGTCTTGCTACACGTACAGGGAAAGTGTCACAAGCTTTGTCCAGGTGGGCAACTATCCATTTCTCATTGTCGGATTAGGAAAAAAAACTACCAATTAGGTGTTGCATTTACATGTACAGGGTAAGTATCATAGGCTTTGTATAGGTAGCCAACTGTCCATTTCTCATTAGCGGATGCAAAAAAGTAAAATAAATAATAAATAAAAATTGCAATCGGGTGCTGCCATGAAAAATCCGTACAAGTGGGTTTTTCCAACAAGATCTTGGTGCTCAAGTTGATAATGTAAATGTTCAACGTAACTTCTCAACTTTAATGTTCAAATTGATGGACAATAATTCTCGTTAGTTATGCCTTCTTTAAGTAGGGTAGTTTTGGAAATTTACTAACATCATAGAAAAAATAAAGTTCTTATTCTACAATTGTGTACAAAGTAATTTGAACGTATGTTAGCACTTGATCTCCTTGTTTGCTAGAAAACATGCATGTCCTGTGGACTCTTCTATTATGACTGAAGTGCCCATATACTCATCATTTTTTGGGCGTATGCAGTTTCAATGTTAAGCATAAAAATCTACAATGTTAATGCTTTGATATTTTGACATGTGTGAAGGGTCAAATTTGAGGAACTCTTCTCCGGCAGGTCAAAGTACGTGAATAAATGTTAGTTCAACAATATCAAGTGATTGAAACTATATCTTTACAATCTAAAGGAATCCCTGATAAATAATGACTAATTCGTGATTTAATTGATGTTAAAATAGGACGAAAGAGCAGCTTGGCTATGGTGTTGATTGAAGCCCATGGGTAACATTCGACATATTGGGGTACTGTTTCCAAGTTCAATCTTCTAAGTACAACCCTGTGTACTTGCTAGAGAGGATTGACAACTTCATAAACGGCCTTGAAGAGATGTTGGTTAGTTTGAAATCCTTCTTTCTTTAATGCATTCAAGCCTCGATAGTTCTCTGTTTTTCACTAACAGCGATCAACATTTGGTTAGATTCTTTCTTGTGGCTAGCATAGTAATTTTGCACTGTAGGAATTTGTTATAGTTTGAGGAATATTTTGCATTGAAATATTAGGTATTGAGATCACATCATGTATAGTTGATATTGAAATTGTTGACCTCGCAAATTGGACCCTCCACATGGCCAAGCCTGCGCACAGTCAACGCACGGTCAGATGCACACAGTCAAAACCAACGGAGGTGGTGGCGGCCACATACACTCCGATGGTCAAGTTAGCCTCAGGTGGTTGGAACAATACCAAGATTGTGCTAAATAAAGGGGAGGAGAATATATATTTGCTTGTTATGGAAAGCTATGTTATAAGGGTTTCATTCTCTTTGCCTCTTGTCAAACCCTTGATATTTATAGATGAGAAGAACCGTTGGATGTAGGACACGTGTACGCATCTGACGGTGTGAGACATCTGCTCATAGGCGTTAATCGACCGCGTTTATAGAATGGATGGGTAATTCCTTCTCCTAAGTTGAGTTGACATAAAGTTGATACGTCGCATCAACTAGGCTCATGGAGACATCAAATCAATTGAATCTTGGGGCAGAAAGGATCTTGACATAGATCTCTTTTTGAAATTGGTGGCGGATCCTCTAGCAGAGAACTTTGGCTTAAACTACGCTTTAACTTTAGGGGCAAGGGCACCTCGGCCAGTTCAGCAGATTGTCTGTGTCTTGTAGTGTGTTAGCAGATGGTGGCTCCACTTCGGATGGGTGTTGCACACCTCGTACGACACGGTGGTAGAATTTTCGAAGTGTTTCAGATGGGGGCATAATAGTGGGCAGAGAACTTCGGCTTAAACTGCGCCTCAGCTTTAGGGATGATGGCGCCTCAACCAGTTCAATAGATTGTTTGTGTCTTGCAATGTGTTAGTAGATGGTGGCTCCATTTCGAAACCACTTCGGATGGGTGTTGCACACCTCGTACGACTCGGTGGTAGACTTTTCGAAGTGTTTCAGATGGGGACGTAACAATGGTCCCCCCAAGTTCAGGTACGAATATTTATATCATGGGTGGACTTATTTTTCTGATAGGGTATGTCAACCTTGGGATGGGGACCGTGATTTGTGAGGGCTTATGGGTCAATTTTTTGTGTTCACCGAAACGTTGACCATAGGCAGACGCGCTAAAGATTCATTACTGTGGAAGGAAAGAACTTATCTGAGGCCGATGTGCTACCAACTGGATGATGCGTTAGGAGATGGATAAAGCTTTGTAATGCAACTTCTGAGGCGATGACCTATAGGGAGGGCTTCACATCAGATGTATCTAAGCTTTGTAAAGTTATGTGAGGAGCTCATCTGCCACTGGTGCGTTGACCCACAGAGGACGACGCGTTGGGAGATGGCTAAAGCTTTGTAAAGTTTAGGAGAAAATGCAGCTTCCGAGGCAATGACCCACAGAGGGGCTCCGCATCAAATGCGTCTAAGCTTTTTAAAGCTGTTTGAAGAGCTCATCTGCCACCGATGCGTTGACCTACAAGGGATGACACATTGGGAGATGGCTAAAGCTTTGTAAAGCTTAGGAAAGAACGCAGCTTTCAAGGCGATGGCCTACAGGAGGGCTCCGCATCGGATACATCTAAGCTCTGTAAAGCTGTGTGAGGAGCTCATCTGCCACCGATGTATTGACCTACAGGGGACGACGCATTGGGAGATGGTTAAAGCTTTATAAAGCTTAGAAAGGAACGCAGCTTCCGAGGCGATGACCCACAGGGGTCTTCGCATCAGATGCATCTAAGCTTTGTAAAGCTGTTTAAAGAGCTCATCTGCCACCGCTGCATTAACCCACAGGGGACGACGCATTGGGAGATGGCTAAAGCTTTATAAAGCTTAGGAGGGAATGCAGCTTTCGAGGTGATGACCCACAGGGGGCTCCGTATCCAATGCGTCTAAGCTTTGTAAAGCTGTGTGAAGAGCTCGATCTGAGGCGGGCATCTCTAACTTAAATAATTAGACAGCTGTCACTTATTTCCAAGGCAATGGTTGGGCGCGATGCCCATTCCCAGAAAAGGATGCTACGGCTACTTATTGCAAACGGCTGATGGTGATCGAGGCAACGCGTTTCGCAAGAGCGTGAAGGTCACAGCTAGATCCTAGGCGTATATCAAATCTGGCATTTTATTTCAATGGCCTAGATTGATGATGTGACAGACGGCCTAGATTGATTGCATTTGTATTCAACGGTGTAGATTAGCTGGGACGCTCTATAAAAGGTGGACTTGAGGAATTTTGGAGCTTTTCACTTTTATGAAATCAAAAACCCAACTTTCTCTTGAAATCTTTGCATTTTCCAGCGTTTTTGGATCACTTTTCGACGAGAAATCCCAGTTTTTGACGACTTACATCGTTTGTTGACCATTTTCGACAGCGAGACGATCCATTTTTCAAAAGTTTTAGTAAGTATTTGAAACTTTTCATTTCTGAAAATAGCTTCTGAGGCTAGTGGTAGTTCGGGTAGGGGGTTGGAACTAGTGAGGGTGGATGAGCCCATTTTGGTGACCTCCTCTGAGATGGCTGAGGCGATTATTGGGAGGTGAGAATATATAGAAGAGGCCAGATAGCCCAGCTAACACATCTGTGCATTGGGGGCATCAGATTACCCCTCTAAGCTAAAGGGTGCCGACCTGGAAAGACTTAAGGCTAAGTATAGGATCCCAGATAGTGTAGATCTGATCCTACTAGAACCTGATTAGCAAGCCTGCTACCCTAGGCCAGGGTGTGTGGCAATAAGCGAGGCGATCCTTAGGGCAGGCCTTAGGCTCCCAATCCACCCTTTCTTCCATTTGGTACTTAGGTCATACGGCTTAGCTCCTACCCAACTAAACTCGAACTCCTGGAGCCAAATGGTGGGCTCCCGGATGTTGTGGAAGGAGGCATCGCTTGGTGTGGAGATGCCTTTTTCTGTATTCCAGACCCTCTACATCCCTAAGGTAGCGGCTAGGGGATAAGACCAAGGGCTGGTACTACTTAACCTCATGGGGTTCCCACACTCCATTTGTGCTCGATTTGCCAAGCTCCATCAAGGAGTGGAAGAACTCGTGGTGCTGGGCTGCCGTGAGATGGGACACGATGGAGGGGGACCCCCTGGCGCCTCTTACGGTCCCCACAAAGTATTCAACGTTTAGTGAGTACTGTGATTTTACGTTTCTTGTTTACTCTTCTTCGGTTCGGTCCTTAACTGTTCTATTTTTTGAAGGTTCTCTTCCTCGGTGCGAGCTTTCCACCGACGACTTCGACATCATCTGCATTATTCATCAGCTGCCTTCGAAGAAGAGGTCATACCACTAGCTGATAAGGAAAAACGTCCACTTCGTGACGCGCGATTTGATGGCCTCTCAAGGTAAATGTCTCGAAGCGAATTCCTTCAGTACTTTTCGAACTCTTTACACTTGTACTAATTTGTTTGTCCCCTTGCAGATAACTTTAATAAGAAGCTGCCTCTGAGGCCAGACTTCAAGACCATCCAAAGGATGATGGCTAAGGTGATAGCCTTGAAGACCTCCTCGTCTGCATACAAAAAGTAGATGGAGGATCTGGTGGAGGCCAGCAGGAGGCTCCAACCTCCCACCGAGGAGGAGGTAGCGAAGGATCCGGACGCCAATCTACTGCGGAAAGGGAAGAGGCTTGTCGCCCACTCAAAGCGCCCAACTGTAGCTAGGCCGCCTCCGATTTTGAGGTAGACGACAATTCCGACCGAGGTTGTTATCCCAGAGAAAATGCCTATGTCTTCCGAGGCTTCTCCATCCCCAGCCACATCGCCAGTCACCGCTATCCCCATTGCTCAAGCTCCAAGGCAGCAAAAGAGAAAAAGGGTCCGTCCCTCGAAAGAGGTGGACTTCTTGGGTGTCAATTCTGAGGAGCCATTGAAGGAAGTGCTGGAGGCTCTTTCTCCAGAGATGGCAGTGGTGGCGATGGTCCACAATAAGTATTGGACGAAGGAATGGAGGGACCACACCGCCTCCTGCACTGTCGAGGATCTGGTCGCAGCCAACAGTACTTGTGTGGTCCGGGCTTTAAGCACAAGCATCCAACTCGAAGGCTTGGTAAAAGACCTCAACACTAAGAGAGAGGACCTCGTCAAGCACCTTGAGGAGGCAATGCACTTTGTGACACAGTGAGAGAGGCCCGAGCTAAGGCTGAGGAGGAACGGAAAGGAAGGAAGGAGGCTAAGGCCCAGCTTGGGGCTGCAAAGGAGGAAATAGAACGGCTAAAGAAGGAGCTCTATGAAGTGGAGTGCCAAGTGGCTACTATGACATGAAGAGTTAATCATGCAAATGAGCACCATCGGCTCGCCATGGAGGCTCTGGAGGCTTCCAATAAAGAAAAGGTAGAGCTGAGGCAGAGGGCGGATGCCCAGGCTGAAGAAATCGCCTCTTTGAAGGAGGAGCTCAAGTCGACAGGGGAGGTGGTTGTACGAAACTTTATCAACCACTTTGAAGAGCACCCCCTGTACGACGACTTCGCCAACTTCTGGGCTTCTTGGAGCACCCAAGGGATATTGGGTTGGCTGAAAGAGGTCCATCCTACTCTGGACATATCTTTAATTGAGGCAGAGTTTGGTGGGTCTACTGGAGGTCGACCTGATAGGCTTGTCGAGGACGCTCCAGAGGCCCCTGGGGCAGGAGCTGCGGAGGCCGGGACGAATGAATGAAAATGAAAATTTTTTGTACAAGTATTTTCGCTTCTATTTTTTCATCGGGTTGAGTTATTTACACTTAAGTATATGAATGACAACCACTTAAGCGCCTATTACCAATAACCAATTAATAACAGAAGATTGGATCAATTAACATATTGAAAAACTGAGGTAACAATTTACTAACCGATGTGACAAACAACTGAAGCATCATTACTTAAAAGGAATTACATCACCCTTCACTAAGGCATTTTTAGCACTTAGTAAGATAGGGAAGTTACAAATGAGATCGAATCATGACACATGTTAATTGAACATCATTAAGATCAGATCAGAACACAAGCTCATTATCGATAGTACTTCCTCAAATGTTCGATGTTCCATTGATGAGGCAGTACTTTCCCTGCCATGTCTTCAATTTCAAAAGTGTCAGGTCGGGATTCCCTGCGGATGCGGTAAGGACCCTCCCAGTTCGGTCCCAACACTCCGAACTCGGTTGGCTTTGATGATTGGAAGACCCTTCTAAGGACGAGGTCTCCCAGATGAAGAGTCCAATATCTGACCTTGGAGTTATAATAGCGGGTTATCTTTCTATGATACTTTGCCAAGTTCACCTGGGAGGCATCCCTCCTTTCTTCAAGGAGGTGGAGTTCGCTCATTCGAGTTTCGTCGTTACTGATTTCATTGAAGTGTACTCGGTGGTGCAATGGGACTCCTACTTCAACCGGGCTCATGGCCTCGGCTCTGTAGGTCATGGAGAAGAGTGTCTTCCCCGTTGCAGTTCGACTAGTTGTTCTGATGGCCCAAAGGATGTGGGGAACGTCGTCAACCCAAGCCCCTTTCGAGGTGTCAAGCTTCCTTTTCAGGGTATGCTTGATTGTTTTGTTTACTGCCTCAACTTGCCCATTTGCTTGTGGGTGATGAGGCGTCGAGAAATCATCCTTTATGCCCAGTTTGTCACATAAGTTTCACATTTTCTTGTTGTCGAACTATCTCCCATTTTCAGATACTAAGGAGTGGGAAATGCCAAACCTGCAAATGATGTTCTTTTAGATGAATTTTATAGTATTCGCCTCGATGATTTGGGCAAGAGGTTCAGCTTCGACCCACTTAGTGAAATAGTCAATGGCAACAATGGCAAAAATCGCACTTCCTCTTCCTTATGGGAGTGGACCAATGAAGTCGATGCCCCATTTGGTGAACGACCAAGGGCTGGTCACTACGAAGAGGCTCTGAGAAGGCTGCCTTTGAATATTAGAGAAGCGCTGGTACCTATCACATTTCTGGACAAATTTGCAAGCATCATTTTTCAGGGTCGGCCAAAAGTAGCCTTGCCGAAGCACTTTGTCTGCTAGAGCCATTCTCCCGGAGTGATTTTCACAAATTTCCTCATGGATTTCCCTGAGTATATACATAGCCTCTTTGCCTCCAATACATTGGAGAAGAGGCGAGGTGAAGCCTCTTTTATAGATGACATCTTCTTGTAGGACGAAGTGTGCAACCCTTCTTCTTAACTTTCTTGCCTCACTCCTGGAAGCTGGAAGTGATTGTTCCTTAAGATAGGCGATGATGGGCTGCATCCATAATAGGGTGCCTTCTATCCATAGCACCTCTTCACCTCCGAATATGGAGGGATTCGATAAGTGTTCAATGGGTACAATCTTTAGTAGCTCTGAATCCTTCCTGCTAGCCAGTTTTGACAAGGCGTCTGCATGAGTATTCTCTAGACGTGGGACTTGAATCAGCTCGAACCTTTCAAAATGGGGAACTAGGTTCATAACCAATTTCAAGTATGCAACCATGTTACTGTCTTTCGCCGCGAAGTTTCCATTGACTTGACTCACCACAAGTTGATAATCGCTGCTCGCTAGGAGCCTTTTGACCTGCATTTCCCTTATCAGTCTAAGACCTGCTAGAAGGGCCTCATATTCAGCGACATTGTTCGAGGCTTGGAAGCTGAACCTTACTGCGCAATTTAGCTTGTGGCCTTCGGGACTTTCCAAGACGATCCCTATCCTGGATCTGACCTCTCCTAAAGATCCATCTACGAACAGTTTCCACGTTGGGAGCTCGGCTGGTTCCATTGTCGCCTCCATTTTTGGAGCTTTGGCAAACTCAACCACAAAATCTGTAAGGTCTTGGCCCTTGATGGCATGTCGAGGTCGGAATAGTATGTCGAACTCACTAAGCTCGATCACCCATTTTAGTAGGCGTCCTGATGCATCTGTTCTCTGCAGCAGTTGCTTCAATAGGAAGTTGGTGAGAACTTCAATTGAGTGGGCTTGGAAGTATGGTCTCAGTTTCCTCGAGGCCATGATGAGAGCGAGTGCTAATTTCTCCATGTCTGGGTAGCATGTTTCAGTTGGGAGGAGTGCTTTGCTGACCTAGTATACTGGCAACTGGCGCTCATTTTCTTCTCTGACTAGGACAGCGCTGACCGCCTCATCCAAAACCGCCAAGTAAAGTAGTAGTGGCTCTTCTGGTTGAGGTTTCGACAACAGGGGTGCCTCTCCCAAGTGCTTCTTCAGTGCTTGGAAGGCTGTTTCACACTCAGAAGTCCATTGGAACTTCTTTCCTTTTTTCAGCACATTGAAGAAAGGCAAACTCTTATCTGTAGCTCTGGAGATGAAGCGACTAAGTGCCGCTATCCGACCATTGAGGCTTTGCACCTCCTTTGGTTTCTGAGACGACCTCATTTCGAGCAAGGCCATTATCTTCACTGGGTTCGCTTCATTTCCTCTTTGGTTTACAATATATCCTAAGAACTGACCCAAAGCCACTCCAAAGGTGCACTTGAGGGGGTTCAACTTCATTTAATATTTTCTAAGTATTTGAAAGGTCTGGTTGAGGTGACTTACGTGTTCATTAGCTTGAAGGTAGCATGTCGTCCACGTAGACCTCCATAGCTTTGCCAATGAGTTTGGCAAACATCATGTTGACCAGCCTCTGATATGTAGCTCCAGCATTTTTCAATCCGAAAGGCATGACCTTGTAACAGTACAGTCATCTGTCTGTGATAAATGATGTAGCCTCCTCATCAGGTCGGAACATGGGTATCTGGTTATACCCTGAGTATACGTCCATAAAGCTAAAGAGTTCATGTTCGACGATGGAATCCACAAGCTGGTCTATCTTTGGAAGTGGGAAGCTGTCTTTAGGGCATGCCTTATTTAAGTTTGTAAAGTCTACACATACCCTCCACTTTCCGCTGGGCTTCTTCACTAGGATCGGGTTGGATATCCACTTCAGGTAGATAGCTTCTCTAATGAATCCACTGTGGCTAAGTTTGTCTACTTCGTCTTTGAGGGCCTCATATCGCTCCGGGTTGAGTGCACGTCTTTTCTAGCGATGTAGAACACAGGAAGAGTTGATGTTAAGATGATGGCAACTGATCATCGGATCTATTCCCACCATGTCTTTATGCTTCCAAGTAAAGACATCCAAGTTCCTTTTTAGGAAGCTCATCATTTCTTCTTTTGCTTCGGGGGACAGTGCCTTCCCTATTCGCTGACTGGGGTCCTCTGGGTTGGCGAAAAAGGTTTCAAGTTCTTCCTTTGGGGTCACGTTTGGCTCGAAGTGAATGATCCGGGGGTCTAATTCATCAAGAGGATGCCCTTCAGGGGCCTCTTCCATGTCGATGTCTTCCTCCTGTTTGGAGGTATGCCCTTGTTCAGGGGCGTCAATCATTTCCACGTCTAAATTGGGTTCACTGGCAGCTTCAGTTATGATCACGTTAATAGTTCGAGGCTCCAATTTTTGCAGAGAGTTTAAGAAACATGTCTTGGAGCCCATCTGGTCGCCTCGTACCATGGCAATCCCATGTTCAGTTGGGAATTTCATACACAAGTAGTGGATGGAAGTAACAGCCCAAAGATCTTTCAAGGTGGGTCTTCCTAATACTCCATGGTAGGCCGATCTATGGTCGACCACCAAGAATTCCATGAAGTGTTGGGCCGCTAGAGGAGCTGAACCCATCTCGACAGGCAGAGTTATCCGCCCTCGTGGGACGATGCTGTCTCAAGTAAGTCCAAACAGTGGATCGGTCATGGGGATCATCCCATGTTCAATTTGCATTTTGTCGAAGGTGGAGCCAAATAGTATATTCACCGAACTGCCATTGTCGACGAGCATACGTTTGAGCCCGTTTCTCGCCACTACGACTCTCATAACCAATGCGTCACAATGGGGGTGGTGAATTCCTTCTGCATCTTCCTAGGAGAAGGTGATTGGGCCGTCTTATTGGCCACTTGGGACTCATTGACAATATAGGTAGCATTGGCGAGTCCTTTGCTTCCCTTGTGTAATTCCTTTGGGCATTCCTTGTGTTTCCACCGATGTGAGGTCCTCCAATGATTGTGTCGATCTCCCTGATGACTTGGCTCCTAGAAAATGGGGCCTGATCTCTCTATCTGGACTGTCCTCGATCCCTGGATTCTCTTCTCCGAGGTGACTACTCTCTATGCCTTCTCTCTCTCCTATTCGAAGAGACAGATCTGTGAGGATATTCGTTCCTCCTGGAGGAATGTGGGTTGTTTCGATCTGGGCATCGATTAGTGTCTCTGCACTCGCTGGTGTCATGCCCATAGAGTTGTTTCTTCTTTTTTTATTATTATTATCAATTCCTCCAGATGCCCCTGCTTCGCCAGGGAGATTCTCATATGCCAATACCGGGACTGCATTTATTGTAGCGAAACCCAAAACCTTACCCCTTCCAAGGACCTGTTTGACCACTTCTTCTTTTTTTATTATTATTATCAATTCCTCCAGATGCCCCTGCTTCGCCAGGGAGATTCTCATATGCTAATACCGGGACTGCATTTATCGTAGCGAAAGCCAGTGCCTGTCCAGAGGTGGGAACTATTGTATGACCTGTTTGAGTCCATTGTTGGGTGACAAGGTGTGCTGCGGGTCCTCAAACTACCTGCCTTTGAGGCAGAGGGAGTCCCTGTGCTACACGATTTCTGTGATCAATCATCTCTTCACTGACGATCTCAACTCTCATCATTTCTACCAGCTCATCGTAAGTGGTGGGATTGATCCCTCCAAAACAAACTGTTCATGTTGAGGCCGCCTTTCAAGGCTAAAATGGCTTCTCTGTCAGTGACCTGCTCACAATACGTGATTTTTTCTATAAACCTAGCGAGATAGCTTTTTAGCGTCTCTCCAGGGGCCTGCCTCATATCTTACAGGCGTTGTACCGGGGCCTCTCATTCTCTGCGTGAGAGATATTGGTTCATGAATAACTTCTTTAAATATGGCCAACTCCTAATGCTCAGGGGATGAAGTCTGTTGTATCACACTTCAACAGCTCCGCTTAGGGTTAAGTAGAAGGCTCAGTACTTCAAAGTAGGCGAGGCTTCCCTGAGGCTCATCTGTGTCATGTAATTGGTGAGTGCTTCTCCGAGTCCCCCTTTCCTTCATACTTGGGGATCTTAGGGGGCATGAAATTTGCAGGCATTGGAAAACTTCAAATTTTTCTCGAGAAAGGGAGGTTATCATTATCATCGTCGATTTCAAAGGATCGACAAAGTCCATCTAACCCTTCATCATCTTGAATGTTCTAGGGAGGTGGAGTTGCTTCTCCTCGACTCCCCCAATCAACCAAGTTCCTTCTTTCCTTCTTATTTCTAGGAGGAGGAGGAGGTGCTTATTCTTGCTCCTGTTCTTGCTAAACTGATCTTCGCACTGAGTGGACCCTATTACTAGGGTCCTGTCCTATTCGGTCGAAGATGCTGACTGACCTTTGTGTTTTATATTCTTGAGGAAAATTGTCCCCAAATTGCAATTCTGCTGGCTGGCTCCCTTGCACATAGGACGTGGCTTCTGCACCCACTTCTCTTTCTAGGGGCGTTTCTTGTGTTGGCTCCCATGGCCTCGGGAACGAGATGCTGGGATTTCCTGAACTGGATATGATCATTGGGGCATCTGAGAGCCCTGGTGACCTCGAGCTTGCATGAGAAGTTCATGCATTGCCATATTCTAGGCTGCAATGTCTCTCATGCCCGCAGTTATTTGAGTCATTCCTTCAGTGAGCATGGCTGTTCTTTCACCTCGGCGACGTCAGTGATGGGGTCTCTGGTGAGTAACATTGTTACGGAGCACCTCTTCTTCAGAGGCCTCTCTCATAGGGTTCTCGTCTTCATGGCTGTAACTCATCTTATCTCCTTTTTCAAGGGTGACAAGAACTTGGGTTATAACTCGACTTTGCTCTTTTTCAAAAACGTGCCCTTTTTAGGGTAAGTCAATAATTTTTTCGTGGTTTTTTTGGTGGAGAATGTAGAACTTTGGATGGGAAGTTTCCCACAGACGGTGCCAATCTGTTGACCTCGCAAATTGGACCCTCCATGTGACCAACCGATAGCTACTCCATGTATTCCTCCCTATGCACAGTCAACGCATAGTCAGATGCACACGGTCAGAAGCAACGGAGGTGGTGGCGACCGCATACACTCCGGCGGTCAAGTTAGCCTCAAGTGGTCGGAACAATACCAAAGTTGTGTTAAATAAAGAGAAGGAGATTATATATTTGCTTGTTATGGAAAGCTACGTTGTAAGAGTTTCATTCCCTTTGCCTCTTCTCAAACCCTCGATATTTATAGATGAGGAGCACCGTTGGATGTAGGACACGTGTACGCATCTGACGGTGTGAGACGTCTGCTCATAGGCGTCAATCGACCGCGTTTATAGAATGGACGGGTAATTACTTCTCCCGAGTTGAGTTGACATAAAGTTGATAAGTCACATTAACTAGGCTCATGGAGATGTCAAATCAATTGAATCTTAGGGCAGAAAGGATCTTGACATAGATCTCTTTCTGAAATTGGCGGTGGATCCTCTAGCAGAGAACTTCGGCTTAAACTGCGCTTCGACTTTAGGGGTGAGGGCGCCTCGACTAGTTCAGTAGATTGTCTGTGTCTTGCAGTGTGTTAGCAGATGGTGGCTTCACTTCGGAACCACTTCGGATGGGTGTTGCACACTTCGTACAAGGTGGTGGTAGAATTTTCGAAGTGTTTCAGATGGGGACGTAACAGTGGGTAGAGAACTTCGACTTAAACTGCGCTTCGACTTCAGGGCTGAGGGTGTCTCGGCCAGTTCAGTAGATTGTCTGTGTCTTGCAATGTGTTAGCAGATGATGGCTCCACTTTGGAACAACTTCGGATGGGTGTTGCACACCTTGTAAGATGCAATGGTAGTCTTTCCGAATTTGTGATTTTTGTCTCTTTTTCTATTTTAATTGAAAAATTTTCTATCTCAATTCAGCACAAATGAGGACAATATTTGAACACAAATCAAGCTATTATGATGTTGCCAAAAATGTTTGTAGTTACTTAACTTACAAACATAAGATTTGACTAGATTAATTCTCTTTATATCTATACTAATTAATCATATAAAAGATTTTGCGGAATTTACAAGTAATGTTTGATTTTTATTTTTTGAATGATTGTGATACGATTCTACTGTTTTCTTGAATCTACATTCTTCCAATCACTTTTACGTTCTCCAAAAGGGTACGAGAAAAAAAAAAGATTCTCTCCCACACTTCCACCGGGACATTAATGGATGTCTTGCGCAATTCTCCTAGATCTTATTCATGGACATAGTGTTTTTCCCTATTCAGTCTAAGAAACTATTTTGGCCCTTTCTACATGTACACTACCTAAACTTTTATCACTAGTTCAATTAAATTCCTAACTTTTTAGGAGCTATTAAAATGACTTGATTGGGCTCATATTTCAAGATCCAATAATTAAACTCAATCAAACCAGCCTAAGACTGCCCAATATAATTATCCATGTTTACTTAGGGATGTAAATTTGGCTCGACTCGTTGGGCTCATGGCTCAACTTGGGAAAAACCATAGCCGGCTTGACTTGTGGCTCGAAGGGACCGAGCTCAGGCTCGAGCAGAGCCCCACTTTGAGGCGTTGATTTGAGCCCGAGCTAGCTTGAGCCACACGGGCCGGCCCATGAGCCAAGCCTTGGGAGGAATAAAAAAAAGGGAAAATTTCATATACCAGACAGTAAACAATCCCAATTTCATATTTAAGAGTTTAAGGTTATTGTTTCAAATATCAAAGAATCTTCTATATATATATATGGAGAGAGAGAACAAACCGTTACAAACCAATCCCTTAAATCAAGCTCCAGATTCCTTCTGTGACTGGACTCCTATGATTAGAAACTTACTCCATAGAAGCAGCACCATTATTCACGCAGAAGGTTACAAAACATTTACATAGAATTTTTCTCTCTCCATTCCTTTCTGCCATCTCTGAAACCATAGACCAGTTCACGCCGACTTGTGTCAATATCGTCAAAAAAATCCATGAAGACGGTGACTCGTGTACGTTGCGGATCTACAGAAATGTAAGGTACATAATGTTTCTTTGTTTATGGTTCACCACAGAATATTGCACGGATTGTTCATTTCTGTAACTTAAGTTTCCATGGTTTATGTGATCCAAAAGTGTGTGACCGTGTGCTGCTTGTGAGAAAGAAAATAATAATGTCCATTGATCCATGTTGATAAAAAGTGTCACACAACCTTTAATATCGTTGTGTCCCGCAATATTCGGCTATGACATTAATTTTCCTTATAAATTGTGCAGGATGGATTACGTGCATGTGTGTTTGTTACGTGGATCACAAGTGTCGATGCTTATGGTTGATCGCAATTGTAGCTATACGAAGTTGGTGAACAGTGTCGTCAACGAGTTATGTTTGGATCAATCAAAGGTAGTGGTCACACTTAAGTATGAACTGACAAGTGATCTCCCCCTAGTGTTGATAAAGAATGGCAGTAATGTAAATTCCTACCTCGTGCTGAAGAGCCTGAATTGTGACCCTTCAAAATATCCATTAACTGTTGAGGTCACAACAGTGGATAGACATAAAAAACCATTTGAAATTCCAGCTAGTGTACGTACTAGTGAAGATTTGTTTTCCTTGGTTGATATGTCATCCAACATATTTGAGGCAGCAATTGAAAACGTGGGTCACATATACGAGAGTGATGTGGCAATGGTGAATGTGGCCGGTGGAATGGCAATAAAAATTGGAAGGATATTTCGGAATAAGGAGACACTGAAAATGAGCTTGGCATTCTATGCAATACATAATATGTTTGAATATATGGTCATTCGTTCAGACAAGAAGGAATATCTTGTAAGGTGTTCTTGAGAGGAGTGTAGTTGGATATGTAAATCATCCAAAATGGGTGCAACATATATGTTTAAGATAAGACGGATGGCTGATGGTCACACATGTGCTGCAAATATAGTATTGGGGGCTCATAGACAAGTGACAGCATCAGTTGTGTCCACGTGCATCAAATACAAGTACACTTCATCCCGAACAAGGTACACTCCAAATGATATACGCAATGACATGTTACACAATTATGGGGTCTCATTAAATTATGAAAAGGTCTGGAGATCCCGAGAAAGAACATTGAAAATGCTTAGAGGTGATCCAACGGTTTCATTCATGAAGATACCAAGCTTTTTTTATATGTTAGGTCAAATGAATCCCGGTACGGTCACAGGATTGGAACTTGACAGTCACAATAGACTCAAATACTGCTTCATGGCAATAGGTGCATCAATTAGAGGATGGCAACATTGAAGACCTGTGATTGTAGTTGATGCAACGTATTTGAATGGACATCATGGTGGTACACTGTTCATGGCATGTACGCAGGACGCGAATAATAGCATATTCATTCTTACATTTGGGATTGGGGACAATGAGAACAACAAATCCTGGACATGGTTCTTCGAACAATTGAAGAGGGCATACGAAAATACGAAAGGTTTGTGTTTTGTATTAGATCACTACAATAGTATCAAGAATGCAATAGAAAATGTGTATTCAGGGACATATCATGAGAATTGCTCATACCATCTACTACAGAATCTAAAGTCATATTTTGGCAAGTCGGGTCACAATATAACACAAGCATTCAACTTGACCATTCGTGCATACACCCTAGTAGAATTTGAATATAACATGTGGCAGCTTGATTCAATGAATCCGAAGATTACAACCTATTTGGTAATTGTCTATTGATAGTCACATTGACATACATTTTTCTATGTCGCAGAAAGGATGTGTATGTCATTGTTGTTATTTTTCCTTGCTTGTAGGCCAAAGTGAACTCCAAGAAATGGTCAAGATTTCACATGCCAGCTAATTGGTATTCTACAATGACTCCGAATATGGTAAAATCAGTGAATGCAGTGACAAAAGCAGCGAAGAACTTCCCTATTGTGGCTCTATTGGATTCTTTGAGACAAACTATACAATCTTGGTTTTGTAAACATAGGGACACCGCGTCCGATACTTTCACAAAGCTGTCAGGCAATTATGAGAAAATTTTAAGGGATATGAGTTATGATTTGAGAAACTTCACAGTAATGTTTGTATTTGTGACCTGTCTTTCACGACTATAACTTATCCTCTAATTTGAAAGTAGGTTGACATTAACTGTTACTGGAAATGATATAGTTTTGTGTCATTATTTGCAGGTATTTCCTACAAATCAAACCATTTTTTTTGTTCATGGTGACAGCTCGTCATTTATAGTTGATATGGAACAACGTATGTGCACATGTAGGACATTCAAGTGGATCAATTACGCTGCCCGCACGCCCTGACCATTATTGCAATGATGAAGATAGATGCATATGATTATTGTTCATACTTCTACACGAGGGATGCATACCTCAATGCTTATAAACACACAGTGTTTCCAGTTGGAAATATCAATGAGTGGACAGTACTGGATGAAGTTGTAAACGTAGTTGTGCTGCCACCAAACCAAAAAAGAAGTACAGGAAGGCCATCAGAAAAGAGGAAGAGATCATCTTGTGAAGGGAAAATCATAGTCAAGTGTGGACGTTGTGGTGGAAATGGTCACAATCGCAGAACATACACTAGTTTGGTTCCATTAGGTCAAAGTAAGTCGTAGGTGTAGATGCCTAGAATTAGTAAATGGGTAAATTCAATACAGTATATGACAAACGAACATGCAAAACAATCATTTGTGACTTCGTCATTAAACCTATGCCTTATTGGATGTCACATGTCTTGAATCCTAATGCTAATCATGAAGACGTATAAATGGCATCAAGATTATAATATGTAACTACATTGTGATTTTAAAAACATAAAAACTGAGCAATGTATGACATATACATTTGTGTGTGTGTGTGTGTTTTTTTTGTTTGTTTGTTTGATAAATGGTTGTAACCTGTCACCCAGATAGGTAATTTGCGATCCCGGCATAATATATACGTAGATAAATTTTTTTTGACAACCATTTATATATTTTTTGTTACTAAGTAATGTGTGTGACCTCCTTGAAATCGTAATTTGTAATCGTAATATGATATACAAGTGGGATTGTGAACATAACATGTTTGTGACCTATGATCCCAACATATTATACGTGCGACCTTCTTGCAGATTGCACCTGTGACGGTAATATAATATGCAATTGTGATCATGTATATACTGTCTGTGACCTGTGACTTGCAATGCTTTTGGGATCCCAACATAATATACGTGTGGCCTATTGCACAATACATCTGTGATCATAAAAGGGTATGAGATTGTGACCGTTTACATATTATCTGTGACCTGTGACCTGCAATGATTTTGGGATCCCAACATAATATACGTGTGGCCTATTGCACAATGCATCTGTGATCATAAAAGGGTATGAGATTGTGACCGTGTACATACTGTCTATGACCTGTGACCTGCAATGCTTTTGAAATCCCAACATAATAAACGTGTGGCCTGTTGCACAATGCATCTGTGACCATAAAAAGGTGTGAGATTGTGACCATTCACAGTATGTGACCTGTGACCTGGAATGCATTTGTGATCTCAACATCTTATACCTGTGGCTTGATTCTAAATGAATCTGTGACCAGACTATGACATACATATGTGACCATACGAGAAAATATGTCTGTGACCTATGTACGGAATTAACAACAAAACTGATCTGTGACCTAGCATTCATTTGTGAACTGTAATAATGATTCCATTCAAAAATAAGTCTTCCAAAGTAAAGACCAACTAACAGAAACTAATAAACAATAGGTAATTGAAACTTGCCTCATACCAACATATAGTATGGCATATGCGACATAAAACATTCTAATTAAGCATAAAACGTCAAAAGTATTCTTCTAGATAACAAAAAAACCAAAAATTACGAATGGTCCTTCCATTACAAATGTGGCATCAATAATCATAACATTTTCGAATATCATTTTATGACTATACCCTCCTCGACCTTTTCGTTTCCTCCTTTAGTTGCCTTCTTGATATCACAATGTTTTTACAGCTGTGCAGCTATATCCATCCAGGATCTGGCAGCATCAAACTCTTTGGGCATGGAGTCCAAGTCATTATGAAGAATGTATTCAACATACTTGATAAAAAAATATACCGCAGTCGTGGCTGGAAAAGATGTAGAAAGTTCATTAGCTTTCACATCAACAAGGAGGTCACATTTACAATATTTATGGAAACATATAAATTGGCGAAATATGAGATGATGGTAAGTACCGTACCCGTTTTGCTGTTGTGGAACATCATAACCTAGCACGATCCTCAACTCCATAGAATCACCTTCATCATTATCTAGATCCTTGGTCCATAATCCAATCGCTCTCATCAGGTGAGGGATGACTCTAACGAATGGTTCAACGCCAGCACGAACACGTAAATCCTGGTATATCCGTCTAGCTGAATTGAATATAGACATCGTACGTTCTTTTATGTTAAAAACGGCCAACATCCAATGAGCCTTATTCGTAGGTAAGATTGGCATCAAAACTTGGTCCACTTCAGGCCATAGACAGCTCAAAGGTAGTTGGACACATGTGACATCATTGATGAGCTGCGTATCAGTTAGTAGTACATTTGGATCCTTCTTGAATCAAGGATAGACATGCTTGATGACGGCCTGAAAGTGGGAGTCCATTTTGGTGGCCTTGTTCTTGACATTCTCCCCATACAATGCTAGTTGACGTATGTAGTAAAAGCAAGAGTCCATGTGCTATGACATGAAATGGGAAAAAAATCAGCATGTTATCATTTGTGTGACTTGACATGCATCCGTGATGTGCACTTGTGATCTATGACCTGATATGTAATTGTCTCTATGGCTTCCATATGTGTGTGACTAGCATACAAAATTGACAACATCAATATCTATAAATGATGTGTCACCTATTATGCTTACGTGGGATGAAGAAATTATATCTGTGACCTGAATTAAATAGCTATAACCTGACTAATTTTTTGTGTGATAAGGATATCAATGTCTGTGACCATCCCATTCACCGTGTGCACAATAAATCATGAGGCATTAGTACATCATGCTTCATAAAGTCAGAAACATTATTTGTGACTGAAGGTTACTGTGTTCTGATGAAACAAGGTGATGCCACCAAGTTTTACTGCTGATAACGAATGTTCCAATATAGAAAGGCGACTTAATAACATTGTTGAGATCGTCAATTTTTTCCTACGAGATAAAAAAGAATATCATTGAACATTAAATCATCCATAGGTAAATTTAATGCGGGAATGTATTGTCGAACGTACTTACTTGTTTGTTGGTTTGTAACCTCTGTGAAACCACCTATTAAATGCCGTAACATCAACATCGTCAGAATCTTGATTATAGAGATGAAAGACTATTATATTGTCCGAGCTCTTGCTATGTTTTCCTTCGTTAGAAACGAATGGGGACTGCAATATACGCGCGGGTCTGGAAACCCGCTTCAATGGCAGTCCAGATGACCATGCTGATGATCTCCTGTCATATAGTGAAGTATTAATCACAATAGTTCATGTGTGACCAAGTAATATCTAATCTAATACTCAATTTCTAACTGGTGATTTGGAACAAGTCACCTTCTTATCAGCAACTTCCATGTCCACCACTACACAGGACGTTATAGTATCAGTTTGTTCTTGTAATTGATGTGTTCGAGGCATATCATGCTTGTTAGATACAGTTGAGTAGGCTGGGTATAACCAATCCCCAAATCAAATGATGGCGGTTCCAAGTTCATTGGGTCGAAAGTTTGCACATCGGGGTACATTTTTCCCTTTCTTTTTCTGACAATAGATGCGTCAACATTTTTACCCTACACGAGACACAACCATGAAAAGTTAGTAAGTGCACTAACGACTGCATAAAATGACCTTGGAAATAGATCCTCTTCCTGATTGGATGTAGCTCCAGTACTTTTGATTCATCTATCTCTCTGACTATGTCCATTACTTGATCCATCGAGCTAGTTACTATTGCGGTTACAGAATCAGATAGAAATTTCATATCTGACTTTATCTCCAGCAGGTCAGTCCTGATATTCTCTTGCACACGAACAACGATATTGAGTTTGTAACTACTGTCAGCCTTTATGGACAGTAACTGTTTCCTGGCATCATCAACTTCCGTAGACAACTCCGTATTCTTATTTCGGAGATCAGTAGCATCATTTTTCAAAAGCTACAAAATGGAAAGCATCTGAGAATAAATCAACTACATGTAGAGCATAAGATATTGAAGCATTAATTTGAATGTGACCCTACAGACTGGACTATGACCTACATATTGTGAAAGGTCACACAAAAATAAATCAATGTGGTGGCAGACAGATGCATGTATATATGACTCATGTGCACAAATTGCGTCACATTTGTGTCTACTGAATGACACAATGTACAACGTGATCAGAATTTGTGACCAAGATTGAGGCCACACATATGAAAAGTATGGATATGAAAGTACTTCGAAATCAGCTGTATATGCTACATTGGGTGGAGACATATGAGCAGATGCACCCTCATCCTTCTGTGACTCTACATACATCTTGTCCGGCTCCATCGGAGGGTCCATGGAAGAACGGATGGGAATGATGTCCATTGTCATCGCAGTGGTGGATCAATGAAATCATCGTCATCGTTGTCGTCAATTTCGATATCACTCAATTGACCTAATCGTCCATCAGTAATCATTAGAATGCATGGCTTAGACTTCTTCATAGTTCAATTGATCTTTGAGCTTCTACTGTGGCGTGATAGCGAGGGTTGTTGTGGTTTGTTATATAGAATACCATCCATATACGACTGCACCATCTCCATCTCAGATGGGTTGATGTCCTGAACCTGGAGTTATTACAACAAAATAAGGTAAACTAGTGGTCCAAGCCGAATGAATAAACATTGCGTAATGTGGATTGTGACCAAAAAATGAATAACTTTAACCAGATTATTACACTTGTAGCATTTGCAGCACAACAGAAAAATATGGCCTTAGCTATGTGAATATGATAGTATAATTTATCGTTGACAGTAGAACAAAGAAAGTGTAATGTGAGTGCAAGGTTTGAAGTCTGACCTAATCTGTGACCATATCAAGTAATAAAAAATCAAGTGAATACTTACATCGGGCACGGAGAACACGTCATCTTCGAGTTTTGAAGTAGACAGTAGTTTATCTGAACTCCAGTTCAGTATACATGGGTAATTGCTTCCAATCCTAGAAGTGACAGTCCCATCAAGCCAATTAATGGACTCGTAAATCCAAACTTGAAATGTAACAAGAAGTCCTTTGAGTCTATAATGGGGATTTTGATTCTTCAACCCATCTTTCAAAGAGGTTATGGAAAGATCAAACAACTTTTTCGCAAACGGAAACATCTCCAACCTCTCAAAATCTTCAACAAGAGCAAAAAAATAATTGTTAACAACTTTCTTGTACAAGGTTGAAAAAAGGTATGAAGTTATCAAATAAAGAATCCCAACTTTCACCACTTCATAATCGTCCTCATTTATCATACCAATGAATATATCTCTAACATCTTCGTTTGTGACTACATTCAAGCGTCCAAAAAATTTCTCCTTAATCTTGGAATGTGAATTCTGAAGACTTCTTCTAACATCCTGGCCATGGTATCTAAGACCTGTGACCAAATAAAACTCAGGCAACGAAAAAATGTAAATACCTGCCACCTACCAAAAACCACATCTCTTTCTTGTTTGGTTGCTTTACCTCTCAAAGTAAAAAATAATGAATTAGTTGGGGGTGAACAACTATCTCCTTACAATCTATAAAATAGTAGAAGCATGTCTCAAACAAAATCTGTTTCTGTTTATCGTTGAACTTTGATATAAAATTCGACAGCATGTTCTTGGTTTCATTTGTGGTAATTTTACCAGGAAACCATGCAGATTCCGATATAATAAATAGCCATTCCTACAATAGATGAAAACAGTTGCAAATCAGAACTCAGCATTTGATGCATGAAGTGAGTTCGTGTCACACAAAAAGCAATTGTCATGAAAAAAAAAAAACAAAACCTTGGTTCATGGACCATAGAACTAAGGTCACACAGAAAGGAACCACCCATGCAAAATGCACCCACAGAAATATCGCAGAAATGCTTTGTTCATTGACCATAGAACTAAGGTCACATTCAAGATCGAATTATAAAGAAGAATGCAACAACACATACTCCGAATTCATCATCAAAGCAACTTAAACTATTTCCCATAATTGTGGGCCACATTGCAGATCTTGAATAGGCTTATTCAAGGAGGCATTTGATCGCTTTCGAGGGTACAAACAGGAAAAAAGCATACTGACCACAAAATGCCCAAAAAAATTACATCTTTACTACAAGTGTTGGGTCACAATTAGACACAAAATCATCCATAGTGACACAAATTGCAATGCAAAAAGGGATTCTCGTGCCCAATAATATGGGGTCGCCACAATCAAATTGTAGGACACACTCCATTATCTTTTTTTTTTTTTAATTCTTTCTCTACTTACTGTATTATGGTCACAATTTCAATCTATGTGTGACCACCCATGACACACACACCCAACAAATGTGAAGCACAAAATTTCAACTAACAGAATCATTCAAACTACCGATTTACCTTTCGACCATGAATGCGCGATTTAGATGAGGTACTGGAACCAGAATCGGGCATGGACACTTTACTCCCTTTCATGCTTTTTTCATTTCTGTGCTTTTCTTCTAGAACTCTCACCAATGTTTGGCCGACTTTTCGGATCAACGCTCCTTGTTAAAACCATCTTCAATGTCTGGTTTCGCGAACCAACAATAGCGTCACTTGAAGACGCACGAGTTACAGTGCGATAGAAACCCTACTTCTTACAGTATACTTTTCGGTTTATGGAGTAGCACGCCGTGAAATTGTGGCTGGATTAGAGGTTTGACGTGGGACGATTTTCAATTTTTTTTCATGTAATGGGAGTTAATTATGGATATGTATAATATTCTCTCTCGTGTTATATATATATATACCTATTCAATCTTACCAAAAGACACGTCAACTGATTTTGGTAACTGATATATGTGTGTCTATATTAATTATTGTAGATTTATATATTTTAATTTCCACTAAAAAAATGTAAAAGCTTCCTTAAACAGGCAGCTAATTTATAGCTACAAGTCATGAGACCATGTTCCCATCTTCATGGTTTATTCGATGTAGGTCCTTTTCATTCACTTTTGCTCATTTTCTCCATAAATCATCCAATATCTAGGATCTCCTAAAATAGACAATATAAAGAAAAAATAAATAAATTATCAATACAACAAAAGTACTCCCAAATATCCATTTTTTATGGTCAAAACAAGCATGGGCAGAACCATGTACTGTCCAGTGCAAGCAAATGTCCGCAGTAGACTTTTGGCCCAAGCCCATGGTCAATCCAATTAATTTTTTTTTTTTTTAAGGTATGTTTTTCATTTATTTATAGTCCAGCCCATACACTAATTTACCCCAACTCCAAGTGCACGACGACATTTTCTGACTCTTTCCTCTCAGCAAGAAATTAAAAATTTTCTTTAAATCTGCTCTCGTTTTGAAATATTTTCAAAATTCATTTCTTTTCTAAAACCCACATTTTCTTGGATCCTCAAATTCACAGCAAAAATTTTCTTGATCATGTGATTTTTATGTTTAATATTAAGAATTTTGATTATGTGAATGTTGAATATTGGTAATATTTGTGATGGGTTCTTGAAATTTTGATTTTTTTCAATTAGTTAAACAATTAGTGATGATTTTATGGTGTTCTACCAATTTGTAAAAATTAGTAGTTCTTTTCTTATCAATTGGTACTTAATTGTCACTTGTAGTTTATTTTATTGTGAAGTGTTAATGTAGAGATTCTTTAAAGAAAATATTTCATAGAAAATGTTGATGAGGAGATATCGAATAAAATGGATTTTTTTTTATGTTGCACAACTTGCTACAGATCCTAGAATAAGGAAGAAGATGATTATCTTATTAGTGTTGTCGCTATGTTATTTTTAGCATTGTCATAATATCATTAAATCCATAACCAAAAAGTTCAACTTTGATTAAATTTTGGTCCACACTGAACAAAATTTCTGGCTCCGCCCCTGAAAATAAGTGTGACATTACCATATCTATCAATCACGTTTAAAGTCCCTTCTAGATAGATTTTCAAGAATCCACCACTTCAACTTTCTTTTATACTAAACTTCAACACTATAAAAGGCAATGGACACAATGCACAAGTCCATTACAGTTCTGAAAGGCGCATTTCTTTATCAGTGGTATGGTTTCTTTTTTTCTGGTAGTTTTCAACACTTCCTATGTTGATTTTCAGCTGAAGTCATTTTTGAGTGATGACGATAACCAGTGGCATGAATATGTGCTCTCGTGTAGGTGCAGCCGGGTTGGGAGAGAATTCCAACGTGTTCATGACAGAAGAGAATCGAGCAATGAATTAGGCAAAGCCAATTCCAAAGGTGCGTCTCCCCTCGTTGAAACGTCTTAAGTGACCACCTAAGCGGCGTCCCAAATGGCCTTAGAAGTCTCCCTGTCCAAGCCGGCCTGGTCCATCGTGGCTGCCTGTTTGGACACCACTGCTTCTAGCAAAAATCACAATGCAAAAACAACCGCTTGTTCATTCTCGAGGAAGAAAAGAGGCTATTCGCACTGTATAATAATTTCTCAGAAGTTGCCATCAAAATTCTAAATTTCTGGATGATAGTTATAAATCATATATTTTATACATTGGCAATAGAATCAAGGGGACAACATTATTTCCAAGGAAGTAATCATGTTAAAATCTTAAATAATGGTAATTTGTCTTTTTTAAAGGCCTTATCTTTTAGATCAACTGGTGTAACATAGTATCATAGCATTCACATGATCTGAGTCCAAGTTTTGTTGCCACCTATTTTACGAACATTGCACATGTGCCACAGGTTAGACAAAAAACAATTGAACCCATCCTGCCCCTAAGAGGCAGTGTTGAGGCTCTCTAACAGCTTTAGCTTTTCAACAAGGTGATTCAACTATAGAAAAAATCACAGTATGATATGGTAGTAACATGCAATTAAAGAACGATGATGGAAGATAACATGTTTTTGAATTTAAAATTAATCAATTTTTCATACATCAATCATGAACGACGAGTTTCTGATACAATTCACCAGATATAGCAGATTCCATTACAGTTTCTGGATTTGATGATTCCGCCTTCACATCTTCACCCGACAAATTCCTAACATCTTCTGTTTTAATATTCCCACCTTCCTCCAAGAAAAGTGTTAACAGATTCTTGGAAAATCCACTAACAAGAGCCACCCCATTCTGTGTAGCTGTAACAGGAGTAGCAGATGAGTCCCTAAGGTTCCAAAATACAATCTCAGGCACACTTCTGTATCCTTTTTCCCGGAATTTTCTCTGTATCACCATATAATCCGTCTCCCATGGACTCACAGAGGCCACATCGAACTCCATATCACTAAAGACAAAAACCCTTTTAATCATCTTCTCTTCCGGCAAGTTTTCTTTAACTGCCAACTCCAAAATCTTGTCAAATGCCTTTTGAAAATCAGTATTCATACCGGCATCCATTTCTCTAATGAACTGTGTTTTCGACCTAAGATTGCCCCCGCTAATTAAGTGAAGCTCTGGATATGCACTAAAGGTGATCACATGGCCTTTCCAGGGTTGTTCGCAAAGTTCAGAGACTAGTAGTCCAAGCGCAACTGCCACCTCCATTGGTGTCCCAGACATACTGCCCGAAACATCACAAATTGCAAGGCAATTTGTTAATTTCCCGTTTTTTAACAAGTCATCAACCATTCTTTTCCATTGAAGATCAGCAACTATGGCTGCTCCACTACTACCTTTCAACTTGGCAATTATTTCATGAGGTAACAATGCTCCTGCTGTAATTTTCGCATTCCCTACCTTCACATTCTCAAGATATTCCCTGAATCTTCTGTTGTCACGATGTAAGAAAATATCAGTGTAATTCCTCATAGCAACAGATGCAACCCGAGTGTAAGGAATCAGTTCCCACTGCTTTGCACTCATATACACCTCAGGCAATTTTAAAGCCTGATGCAATGGCACAAGCACTTCTTTTCTCAGCCTGTTTTTCACCTTATAAGCATATTGATCTTCACCGAGGCCTTCATATTCCGCTGTAGATTCACGGGGAAAGATTTTTTCACCTATGCTTTTGCACATCAAAATGGCCTTATCGTATGATGAATCAATAGTGGGACACCATTTTGCTGCAAGACTTAAACTTCTAATCTCACCAGAGTTCAAGAAATCAATATCAGATTTCAGTAACTGCGCAAAAAGGGTTGAAATCTGATCATGCAAAAATCTGTAATTTGCATCTTGATCATACTTTTCGGAGGCCTTTTTTGACATGTTGAACACTTTCAATTTTCTCAATTCTCTTGCTTTCTCCCTTTCCTCCTTCACTTTCTTCATATTTGCCTTGATTCTTTCCTCTCTCGGCACGTTAGCTCTCAACTTCTTCTTCTTCTCCACCTCGGCCGAATCCTCTTCTTTCTCCTCATTTTTCTGAAGATAATAAAGTCTCCTCGCTCTATTCTTTTGCCTTTTCTTCTCTATCCACTCCATCTTCTTGTTTAGTCGAATCTCAGGCCCTTCAAGAAGCCTATAAAGTATCTCAAGAAGATCCTTAAAGTATCCAAACTCTGCGAATGTCCCTATATTGAACGCCAATGTCTTGGGATGGTATTGATGCAACCAAAGTGCAGCTTTGTAGAAATTCTCTTTATCGGACTTGCCAGTGCCTCTAACACCCCTCAAATTTCCCACCAATTTTAAGGTTGTCAAAGAATCATGGTCCCAAGATAGTTTCAAAAGTTCATGGAGAGTTTCACGGGGTGTGTCTGGCACTACATGGAAAAAGAAATCTAGACAAGGGTTGCCCGAAGACAAAAAAGTGGCTGACCCATTTTCGGTGAAGCCCGTAGGGGCCATTTGGGGGGAATATGGGATAACGTTGAAATTTGGGATTTGTTCCAGGAAGTGATCCATAGTTTGGATACACTGACTAAATTATTGACTCTGCTCCTAAATAGACGAAGGAGACTTGGCTGCAACGCCGTCCTGGTGGTGGCAGGAACTTGGCCGGACTAGTGGCTGAAGGAAATGAGATTATTTTGGAAGTATATGATGCATTGACAACGAGGTTAGAGAAATATATATTCTTGTTATTTTCTTGGAGACCAAGGCTATGGGTTGCGACTCTTCTCCACGTATATTTTCTTCGGGACCAAGTCGGTGAAAATAATGTTTGAAAACTGAATTTATAATTTGAATTTGACTTTGAAGTGCTATTATTGACAAGATCATAATGCATTAATTTTGTTTTATAATTCAGAACACGTTTTGACATGTCCAAATTTTTTTAATTAATAGTCAGATGATACATGGTTTTTGTTAAAAAGCATTCAACCCATGTGTTGATCGAATATTCCGTTTAATCATGAATAATAATAACATTAGATCATATACAATTTTAATGATATATATATTCAGATTCCAATACAACTACAGTATCATATTTTATTCTCTTTTTCAATGTGAATCTCCTCAAATACATAAAATACAGCTACAGTATCATATTTTATTCTCTTTTTAAATGTGAATCTCCTCAAATACATAAATAAATAAATTCTAGTTTTATGAAGTAAGAAATATTTTATATTAAAGTAAAACTATACCCCTATTTAATTGTGATTTAAAATCATATTTTTAATATGTTTTGATAAAAGTTGATTAAATGTATTTTTAGAAAGTATTGGATAAATTAATCAGAGTTGAATGTGTATTGCACGTTATTCTAAAATACTTTATAAGTATTATAAAAGTAATACTGGATACCAATTTATTGAAAGGATTTGATGAGTTTCAAAAGAACTAAAGAAAAAAATTTAGGATAGAAATTTTAAAGAAGAAAATTGTAATATCAAATCTCAACTTCCATTATTCAATTTTTTTGTAATGATGAAATACTACAAATTAGCAATATTTTTATATTACATTTGGTACATAAAAATTAATTAATTGCTAATACATATATTTTAATACTCATTATTCCTAGATAGATGAATAAAAATAAATTTATCTATGATAACACTATATTAATGTAAATTAAGATTTATCATTCATTGAGTCTAGATTAATATAAATATTAATTAATTGAAAATTAATAACATGAAATTCATCTATGACAATGATTTTTTTAATATTTAGTACATATTAAAACGAAAAGTAAGGTATATTGAAACAACTGAATTGTAGTATGGTCAAAATCGTCTAAAAATTGATTCTCACTTGATGTCATATTTAATATACCATAGAAATAGATTAGGTTAAATACATTAACACCACAATTTTTGTTAACTACACTACATTTTTATTACAATGCAAACTCCTAAAATTTTCTTATTTTTACACTTATTTTCTCAACTTTTTTAATACACACACACGCATGTGATTAATCTTTTATTAATTTTCACATCTTGTCTATAGAGATAATTTTCATCCAAAAATATTTGGTATGAGAGCCGAAAAGGCGTATTTCTCTCTCGCTTTTTAAATAATCGAAATAAATAACTAATATAAAAGTTAAACAAAAATTTGTCCATCTTTTCAATGCACGTTAGTTGAATATTTGGATGAAAATTATGATTAAAGACAAAATATGTTAATTAATTAAAGGTTAAGAGTGACAATTCGACGTGAAAAAAGTTGAGGATATAAAAATAAAGGTGAGCAAATATTGAAAACCTTTCTTGTGAATAAAATGTGGTGCGCACAATTATAAAAAAAAAAATGTTGTGGGGATATAATTACCATATAGATTAATAACTTTGACTTACATTAAAATCTAAATTTTCATCCTTACCAAACAGAGATTATATTCAATACAAGGCGTTGAAAACATTCAATTCAATGCACGTAAAAACAAAAGCAAGGGCTGGTTAAATTATTGCGGAATATCCATTTTCTGAGCAAAATCGGATACCGCAGAGTTTATTGAGAAAATTGTATCATGTTTCTCACTAACACAATGTATTAAAATATCCAATGCAAGAAAACGAAAAGTACCATGTTGCACTCATAAGTTAGACTATATATCGTATTTGATTTTAATATCATCTAGTTCAAAGTTTGAACAAATTTCTCCTTCTTTTCAAGTCTAAGTTTAGGACCAATATTATGCATATCAATAAAGCTTTAAGTACAGGAAAATTTTGATAGAATTGATACCTACGCTAGCATGGCCAAACCTGATTGGCCTTATTTCCCCATCTTCCAATGTAAAATGGGAAGAACGCTACTACAAGTTTTTGGAAAATTCTGAAATCATGGGAGGCACAGATTCTAACTATGTTTACTGTGGTAGCTCTGCTTGAGTTGTTACTTGTTTGACTTCTTTATTCTCCTTGATACAATGTTGTCATACCAAATGTCGTCTGTCAAAATTACCTGTAAAAAAAACAAAAACAAAAAAAACAACTTTACCTATAGCATGATTGTATGCATATATGACAAGTCAAGAAAAACATTAAGACACATATGGTCCTATGCAGCACACATGAAAAGTAAAATAATATCTTTCGAAGAATAAGATAACGATTTGACCACTCATTCCTGAGATTTGGCTTCAATTTCGTATGAGACCATCCTTAGCCACGAATAATCAATTTAATCACAAATGCGTTTATTAATTTAATCATTATCTATGAATAGAAGGTAGCGAGACTTCAAGCAAGCAATCCTAGCTAATGAATTAAGCCAAATCTCCTCCAAAATTTCTTGATCACTCTATTTGCCTAACTTGAAGTGTCTTCAATCATTTGCATTCCTTCCTTGTAATGGACAAGGAGATTGATCAAATCATGTTTTATAGAAATTTAACATATATTAACCAAAAATAATAATAATAAAATTAAAAATTAATATTAAGTTGCCACGTTTGTTTCAAGTAACGTACTTTTAGTTGTTCATGTGACACTAGAAATCTTGTACTGTATGTCTGTAACATATATTCTCATGCAAATAATCATGCAATGAATTTAAAATTTAAAATTTATATTATTATATGTTGAGAAAAATAGTAAAAAATTTAAAAACTCACATATAATCATTTGTTTACAGGATAGGAAAGGGTCGTACAATTTGTAAACCTTGCCATGCTACAAAATGTGGCAAACAAAGGAAGAAAACTATCCAAATAGCACAAAATTTTCACGTGCATCTATCTCTCTTTTTAATTCACTACATGAGAATTTGATACCTAAATTTCCAACTACACTTTAGGATGAACCATGCTGGAGTGACAGATTTTGGGGACAGGCCAATTTGGCGCCCCCTTATTGGAGGAGCAAAATTCTGTCAAAAAAATTTGTTTTGAGCAGTTTAATCCTTTTAGCATTATTTTCTTATGATGTGCAATCTGCATATCTTCTTAATTTCGATTAAGCTACTGAGAACCAATTAGTATAGAAGTAAAAATTTACTATATATTGCACTTTTTCATTGAAGATCTCCTTATTTAAGTCCATCTGACCTCAAAGTCTCTGTTAATTCTCTATAATCCCATGATGTTTAGAGTAATGCTTTATGATCTCTATTTAAGTTCATAATAATGCAATAAATCCAAGGTCAATCTCCACTAACCAATTTTTGAATACGATTCAAGTATTGATCCAGAAAAAATATTCTTAGTTAAGGGACAAATTATTCAACTAGGATCGAATTAGATGTCAGTATAATTCATCAAATAATTAAATTAAAACATTCACAAATGCAAGTTAATTCTCATCAATATTAAAAACTAAAACTGATCGATAATCAAGTAAAAGAATCTACGATGTTAAGGATTTCACTTAAATCATCCAGAAAATAATTTCTGTTTGATAAAATTTGCAACTACAAAGCAGATGAATCTAGGGTCAACTGGACCAAGACCCAGTTGAACAAGTAGGGTGACAGATCGAGGTTCATTTCAATTTTTTTATGAACTATTTTTTAGCTATAAGCAGGGCGCATATATTTAACGAAATAGGGCGTTTGAGCGCTGACCTCGCTAAGAGCTTCCCACTTGCTTGGTTGCTCGAGCACCACTTGGCGCTCCCTTCCTGTGAGGCCGCCGCTCCAATGGCAGTGCCATCCGAGGTAAATTTGTTTCCTTTATTCCATGCAATTTAAGATGCTCTTTCCATTTATAATGCTATTGTTAGGATTTGGCAAGTACTCAGCCCTTCGTTGCAAGTTTGATAATTTAGACACTATTATAAATACAATATCTTTGTATTCTTTCTCTATATTATAGTGAATTCTTTTTTTCTCTACCAAATTCCTTCTGTTCTTATTGTATCGTGATCTTTACTTCATATAATCTCGTCCTTAATTCCTAATTGTATCAAGTGCATGATGAGACGAATTATGCAGTGCATGTACTGCGTTGTGGCAATCTAATTGAACCACAGTGATGTTGAAGCCGTGAGTTTGAGCGAATTCTAACCCCTTCCGAGATGGCTAATATTTCAGTTAAGTATAGTGTAAAAGGTGAACAAAACCTTTTCATTGAAAGCTGCAATACACTTATAAAGTTTAGTCATTTATAAATGATTTATAAGATTTGTCAAATGGAGACAAAGTGTGGATCCCAGATAAAAATAGTGAAAGTGTGTTTTCTAAAACCCCAAAATGCATCTTTTGGGTTGTCCAAGTGGTGTGCTCCTACTAGCCAATTCCACTTCACTTGGATTTGTGTTTTCTCTTGTGAATTTTGGTCCTTAGATCAAATCCATTGGTGGTGAGCCTTGGTATAAATGTTTACCCACGTGATGGAAGTTTGAGAGATTCTTCAATTGGTCATTCTTCTTCTGGGCTCTCTCTCTCTCTCAAGTCACTGCAGAGATCTTGCAATTGTTTTTCCCCTTGTAGTTTTCTGATATTTTGGCAGGTAATTAGTATAGAATTGTAAATAGGATATTGGCAGGTGGGTGGTCTATAGTCTTGTGGTATTTGTGGGTGATTGCTAGTAGCCGTGATCGGAGGTTTTCGAGGCTTGTTTGGTCTTGCTTTGGTCAGTGTTAAACTTTTAAGGGCAATACTACACTATCTAGGTCATATGTGTTGATTAGGTGTTGGGTGTTGTGAGATCTTTGAGA